AAGAAGAATGATATTTGGAGAGAAAGCTTGGAAGAGGATAAAGAGTGCAATTGATAAATCCTGCAAACTTCTTTATATCTATACTTAACATGTATATTACTCATCTTCTACACCATAAACAGTTTTACTGAACTGGTGTCTGTCTTCATTCCTCAGGTTTACCTTCCAGACAATGGCACTAATGTATATGATACTTTACCACTATCAGTTGATAAGCTGTATATTTTTACTGACAAGATCGAAGAAATCAATGAGAATGAAGTGAAAATTATGGCTGACGATTTCGCTGGTATTGGAGGAATCATTATCGTTGATGTGTATGTATACTAGTTAGCCAATCAGATGAAATGGCTAGGAATTTGCCTTTTTCGTATGGGTTAAACAAATTAATTTCATTCTCATAATATTGATTTTACTTAGTAATAAGCACAAAGACAAGATGGATGAGTTTGGTTTATCAGCAAAAGATTCATTCCCAACAGCTGCATATGTCCCTGCTTCGTCCACCAAGTCAAAGGTACGTTATGAAGATTTTTWAAAATCCATTATGAAATAAATTTTTGAACCCATTCAAAGGAACTGTTCTGAAAAAATTAGGTGGCCATTAATTGCTTGTTGAATTTATTTTTCAAACTTGTGCATTAAATATTTTCCATTTGAGTCCATGTCTCATTCCCTTGAAAATAAAATTCTTTGTTTGAGGTGTATCCATATTCATGTCTTCTCTCGCACAACCATTAAACAAAGTAATAATACTCTAGGGAATGTTTTAAGTTATATGAGCCTATAACTTAATAATAATATATAGATCACAAGGGGGAATTGATTATTCAAGAGGGAAAATAATCTTTTTTTGCCATTATTGTTTACAGCCAAATGTGGAGCTTTTCCCAAAGAACAACTTTGTGTTTTCAATGGACAATGTAAAGTTTTTTTTGAATCAATTCCTCCAGAATCCAAAAAAAGAATACAGAATAAAAGGTAATTCTGTCACTAGTATACTTTATTCTCTACCTTGACACTAAATAATCAGGAAAATCCTGTCAATAGACCCAAATTTGCTTGAGTAAGCACAAACACTGGTTCCAAGGGCGTAGCCAAAGGGGGCCAAAGGGGCTAGCCCCTCACCCCTTCGGAAAATCCTCGCTACGCCCCTGGGCTCCAAGTCGAGGTTGCACTTGATGAATACAGTAAATGTATAAACACATCATAGTTAATGGAGCGGAATGGTTTGGAAACTCCATAGAACAAAGCTATTGTTTTGCGTTTGATGTTGAACCGTACCATCACGTGATACTGACCCCGCGCAATGAACCAAAGCAAGTATGGCTAAAAATACTTATTTCCTTATTATTTTCATGTAAGGACATTTTGAAAGTGAAAACTTTCATTCGATGACCAAAAACTATGAACACATCAAGTCCAACCTCGACTTAAAACCATTGTTTCTTGGTCCCCGAAGCGAATTTGGGAGAGGCCTTTCTGTGTCATGATTGTGCTGTTATCTAATACCTTCATATGAAGTCTGCTCTTTTAGATTCTTAGATAGCCTTCTTGCTTTGTGGTCTCTTGTTGTTGCTAGGGGAACGAGAGACTACAAAGCAACAAGCGAAAGAAGTATTATAGCAATTATTTTTGTTTCTTTTTTTAGCTGAGTCATCTTCTCTTCAGTCCATCACGTACGATCAATTTTCCAAAATCTCTTCACCGTCAAAGACCTTTCTTTTTAGTAAATCTTACTTATTGGCTGCTTTCTGTGAAAAAGGTACGTAGGTTTGTTAACTCGTGATAGCTCTCGATAAGATTATGTGTAGTCAGATTAGAAGATGATGGATGTTATAGTGGACGGAAATGTGTAATGGGAATAAGAAAACGAATGGGAACGAGAAAGGAAAATAACATAAATTGGGATGATATAATGGGAATATATTTGGAGTAAAGAACCAAATCATCATTGCAATGTTTTTCCCAATGGAATTAAAATCTTGTCCCAACTACAAGAAATATGACTCAATTTTCTATTATTTTCGCAGGACCGTAAACGATTAAAACAATTTATATAAATTTTCCGCGATCAGAGTTTTAAATTCTGAGATATTCTAGATATGTATATGGGAATATATATAAAATATATATTTGTACTGCGGTTTATTCTAGATAATTTGTTGAACTTGTGGGACATAGCAACGGTAACTAAGGGAAGTCGGACCATAAATAATATGGATGTGTGTATTGATTTATATATGACGTGCGAAACTATGCTAGAATGGCCTTATCGCTTTAATGTTTCCACGTAGCTTCAACCAAAATGTTAAATAGTGAGCGAATGTTTTTTTTTTAACCAAATACTAAAATCCTATTGGTTGATTTTTTCTTAAAGTTTCAATAAACCCAGACTGTCAAGGCTTTGCAAAGCATTATCGACGTCTCGTGAGAACACTGGATAGTATGGAAGATGATGATAATGACAGCCCCTTTTATATTGTTCACGTGACCCTGGATGATGGCCAAGACGTACACATTGTATGTAATAACACTTATGCCAAGGGCGGGGCCATAAGGATCCGTTTAGGGGGGAGGGGTATCCCAGTTTATCCAACACCATCGGGTTTTCTCCTTTCCTTCGAGGGTTTAGTTTTCTCCGGGTTCTTCAGTCCTCCTCACTGTCCAAAAATCAACTTTTAACTTCCAATAGTCCCCTTCACAGTTCCCTGCGCTATCTTGAAAGGTAGTCATGCCTTTGCATAGAAGCGAGACGAACGGTGAGCTTGCAATGATAGATACCTGTGAATAATTGTCCAAGGTGTTAAAAAAGGTCTCTATCATTACAAGCTCACCGTTCGTCTCGCTTCGATGCAAAGGCACGACTACCTTTCAAGATGGCGCAGGGAACTGTGAAGGGGACTATTTGATGACGGAACGAGGGTGACAGATTAGTTATCCACTAGCTATTGTGTACTACCATCGTAAATCATGGATGACATATTTTTCTGAATATCACTAAAGTTTTATTGTGGCTTTCTGTTTTAAGGGTGGGCATGAATTACCTCATGTTCGTCTCTACACCGAGAATAATTCCGACGACTTTATCGTTTTCGAGGGACAACCTGACTACGATGAATTGCTGAAATTTATACGAGAGAAAACCAGGTACTGGACATCTGTCGGGACGAATTCTTACAAAGTATTCCTTTTTTTTACTCGAATTGATAAAAAGTTCTCACTCACATGATGCTTACTTCTCTCGTTTCTTTCGTCTTACCTATTCTCTCACGCTCTGCCCTCGTGCTCTCCACGTGACTACACGTAACTTCCGCTAACTTCTGCTCTGACGCATTCATACCTCGTCTTCTACGCAGCCGCTATTACACCTTTTGCTGTTCATTAA